TATGAAGAGTCTTAACCTCTCGGCCCTTAAGCTCGGCTTAGGCACGTTAAGTGCGGCTAAGGGTGCGCTAATGCACGATTGGTGTGTGCTAAGCACCATTGTGCTAATGCCACACTTATCGTGCTAATAACATGCTAATGACTTACTAAAGCTTGCTTAGGGCTAATCTAAACATGATTACCTTAAACATGATTATCCCTAAACTAATCCTCATTAATGTTAATTAATCCTAATTAACATTAAGCTAATCATGATTATCTTTAAGCTAATTACGATTAATTAGCTAAACATGGATTAAGTTAATTAAGCAAGGTTTAATGACCATTACTTAATTAATGATGGACGGTGTACCAACTGTGAACGCGTCGTTGTATAGGAATGACGACGTTCATATATGGTAACCTTAACCGAACGTACTTGTTTTCGGTTATAACTTAACTTCTGAACTTAATTCGAATATTCTTGACTTAGACGATTAATCCAAACATAAATATTTTGAATAGTTCGTCAACTTGGCTTATTAATTCCGAACTCATTAACTAATTAAATGAATCGGAATTAAATCTGAAAACTTATCGACTAATAGTCGAACTTGGAATTTAACTAGCTGAATAACTTGAACATGAACATGATTATTTATTAACAAAGGCTAGCTTAAAATTAAAAGCTAGTATTTTCCTTTATTAATAAAACTCGGGGTATAACATGGTTCGTCTCCTTTTCAAATTCAGCAATAAGAACACTCAGCGCTTCCTTCATTTTATTAGCCCTTGCCCTCGTGATCAGTCCCTCGTTTATTTTCAACGGATCTTCTTTACTTTGATCGAAGAGCTTAGCATGGTCCCCATCATTCCCTTCTTCTTCAAAAGGATTCGACCTCGTATCTGAATTAATCTAAAAGGACAAAGATCAGAAACAGTAAATTAAGCGCTCACGTTGTACTCACCTGGAAGATAAAGTTTGTAGGCATTATCGTTGATCCGTGCTATCACTTGAAATAGCCCGTCCCCCTTGTTTGGAACTTTGACTTACGCTTTGCTGGGAATCTCTCTTTTGTCAAATACAGCCAAACCCAATCTCTGGGTTCGAAGGTAACACGCTTTCGCCCTTTATTGGCTTCTTTTACATATTGCTCGGTTTGCTTCTGAATATTCAGCTTGACCCTCTCATGTAACTTCTTTATCATTTCAGCCTTAGCATTTCTATCCAAGTTCGTTTGCTAATCAACAGGAATAGGCACAAGATCAAGTGGGCTTAAAGGATTAAAGCCGTAAACAACCTCAAAAGGAGTAAAATTAGTAGCAGAATGGACACTCCTATTATATGCAAATTCAGCAAAATGGCAAACAATCTTCCCAACTTTTTAAGTTCTTTTTAATCAAAAGTCTAAGTAATTGCGATAAAGTTCTATTTACTACTTCAGTTTGCCCATCAAATTGGGGGTGACAAGTCGTAGAAAATAGAAGTTTAGTTCCCAATTTACTCCACAACACACACCAGAAATGACTCAAAAATTTTACATCTCGATCACTCACAAGGGTTCTTGGAACCCCATATAAACATACAAATTCTCGAAAGAACAAATAAGAAATATGCGTGGCATCATCACTTTTATGACATGGAATAAAATGAGCCATTTTAGAAAATCTGTCAACAACCACAAAAATGCAATCTCTACCTCTACTAGTTCTAGGTAAACCCAAAACAAAGTCCATAGAGATATCCACCCACGGTTCATTAGGAATAGGTAAAGGTTGATACAAACCATGAGGTTTTGATTTTGATTTAGTACGTTTGCAAGTTATGCACCTCTCACATATTCTTTAAACATCAACATGCATACCAGGACAAAAGAAATGATCACGCAATACTTCCAATGTTTTATGTACACCAAAGTGTCCCATTAATCCTCCCCCATGTGCCTCCATAACCAGCAATTCACGAATAGAACATTTAGGAATACAAAGTATATTCTCACGAAACAAGTAACCCTCGTGCTTGTAAAACTTACCAAATGCAGCATGTTCACAAGCCAAGTAAATCGACCCAAAATCAAAATCAGTGGAATATGTATTCTCTATCGACTCAAATCCAAGAAGCTTAGAACTCAAAGTAGTGATTAAAGCATACCTCCGAGATAAGGCATCAATTACAATGTTTTCCTTGCCTCTTTTGTATTTGATCACATAAGGAAATGATTCAATAAATTCCACCCATTTGATATGCCTCTTGCTTAACTTACCTTGGCCCTTTAAGTACTTGAGAGATTCGTGATCAGTATGAATCACAAACTCTTTCGACCAGAAGTAATGTTGCCAAGTTTCCAATGCTCTCACCAAAGAATACAACTCCTTATCATACGTCGGGTAGTTCAATTGAGCTCCTTTCAACTTCTCGCTGAAATATGCAATGGGTTTTCCTTCCTGCAACAAAACAACACCTACACCTACTCCAGAAGTATCACATTCAAGCTCAAAAGATTTATCAAAGTTAGGCAAAGCAAGAATAGGTGAAGAAGTTAATTTTTCTTTTAAGAGATAAAAAGCAAGTTTTTGTTTTTCTCCCCATTGAAAACCAACTTCCTTTTTCACAATTTCATTTAATGGTGCAACAATGGTGCTAAAATCTTTCACAAACCTCCTATAGAAGCTAGCAAGACCATGAAAACTTCTCACTTCAGTAATGCTCTTAGGGACATGCTAATCCAAAATAGCTTTGACCTTATCCTTTTCCATTTCTATTCCATCACCACTTACAACAAATCCGAGAAAAACAACTTTAGGCATGCAAAAAGAACACTCTTTAAGATTAGCATACAATGGTTCAGTTCTTAAAGTGTCCAAAACAACACGAACATGATCAAGATGCTCTTCTTTGCTTTTGCTATAGATGAGGATGTCATCAAAATGTTGGAACCCACGAGGATCTCGATATGCACAAATCACGGACAAACATTCAACATA